CCTCCCCTTGCGCACTAAATACACCCAGAAGGGCCTTGAGTCCCAATCACATTCTCATCATTCATACTGTTCCCCACTATACGCTCCCACCAGTGCTACCTGAAGGTCACCTCTTACAAGCACACTGCTGACGGCCAGCTGGCCAGCAGCTCTACCTATAGGAGCAGACACATTGCTATTGCTCTCTAGGCTCTGAAGACAGCCACTCCCCCTTACCTGCCCAGCCCTGGTGTTAGGTGACTCTTCCAATATACTTAGGGACCTTTAGGGTTAGGGTACAGCCCTTTGTTACATGTGTGGCTACCTGTAATTAGGGGGCTTGCACACGCCCCCGAGTATTAAGCCTTGGTTGGAAATAGACTTTCTGCGTGGACCTGGCTCCTGACGTCATGGCCTCGAAGGCAGGCGCTGGCATGCCGTATCTTTTCTGATGTCTCAATCCACCCCTCAATGACCTATTCGATTGTGGGGGCAGGCACCCCACACACCCTTACGGAGCACCTACTACGTGTCATGAGAACCTCACAACCCCCTTGCTTTGTGACCTAGTCTTACCTCCCCCTCACCCCACCCCTATTCATTTATTCAGCATTGATTTTTTACTGTGTGCCAGGATAGCCTTCATAATTTGTCTCACTAATCCTTAAAATAGTCTCACAAAGCGGTTGATTATCCCGACGGACAGAGGATGAAACTGAGGCTCATGGAGAGTAAGATCCTTCATTGATAACACAAGGAAGGGGTGCAGACAGGAAGTAAATGGGTGCTTCTAACTCCAAAAGCCCTAGGCCAGGGGAGCTTGGGGTACCAGTGCACACACAGAACACCATTTCCAGAAAACAGGAGTGGTCCAGCTCCAGTCACCTGTCAGCCCCTCTCCACAGACACACACACACACACACACCACCCCCGTGAAGGCAGCACTGGGTTTCCCCTTGGTCACGGCCTGGCACGAGGAGGAGACGCAGTCAATGTGTTAAAAGCTCACGCCGCTGCCCCAGGCCCTTTGCTAAGCACCCGGGACCTGAGAAAGTAAGGGGAAGTTTCTCAGAAGCACATTTGGATTGGAAGGTAGTGACGAGTGTGACCATGGCAGCAACCTGAATCAGGTAGCGAGAGCAGCTAGTGGCTGGTGCGTGGGTCACGCCTGCAATCCCAGGGCCCAGAGCAGGGCTCTGCACACTGTTGGCAGCTCCTGACTCCTGGCGACTCCCTGAGCCACAGAACTGAATGCCGCCCGGTCCCGTGGCACCCTCCTGGTCAGTTGGAGACCACGTTATGACCCATCTGGTTCTCACCGGCTGGTTTGGGGCACTGGGTGACCAGGCCCATTTCTAGTCCTTCTTCATCCGGAAGCTCTGGTGAAACTGGTTCTGCAGCACAGGGGGCTGAGGGTGAGGTGCATCGGAAGGCGAGAATTTTAACCACCGCTGTCTAGCGCCCTCCACTGGCACACAGTAGGTACTGTTAAGTACTGGCGTAGTGAACGGAACACGGAATCTAGTTTTGCTCTGAAATGTTTCCTTCTGGACTCCTGCAGCCCGTGCGATGACCTCTCACCCACCTCACTTGATATTTGTTGAGTAAATGAGAAGACGAAGCTAAGGCTATGCATGGAGGGAACTGTCTGTTCAGTCGAGCCACACATTTGAAACATCTGTGGAGTTTACAGAGAAAAATCCCCCAAGGGTGGGGAACCTCACTTAAAACAATTTCCTAGCGTGTGGCCCGAGCCTGAGTGCTTCTAATGATTTCAAAGTGCAGCCCGCGTGCTGCCAGGCTCGTTTAGGTCATGAGGGGCAGGTAGTAATTCTCACATGATTAATTCTCCAGGCAGTTCCCAGAGCAAACATTGATAATCAATCTCAGGTCTTGGAGGAGACTTAGAACTGGGCACTGGACAGCCATTACCAATCAAACGGAACTGTAGGAGGAGGAGTAACCTGTTTGATTTCTGGCAGCTGCTCCCCTCTCCTCTGGCCTCCCCTGCTGTCTTCTCTGAATTGGAGCGGGGGTGGCATGCGCATCAGACCTGTCACCTCACAGGTGGGCAGACACATCCCGGATGGCGACAGCAGTGCTTGTCCCTGTCCTCCTTACCCAGGCAAGGTGCTCCCCATCATCCACCTCCATACCCACTGGCTCCCCATATGCCCAACGGCTGTGCCCGTCCTGGGGCAGGTGCCACTACAGTTTTGGCCTTGGTTCTGGGGGAATGTGGGTGTGGAGTGGGGGCAGGGGGCATTAGGGGGACTTTGGTCCCTGTCTCCCTATGGTACATCCGGAATTCCACCCCCCTGGAGTCAGGGGGGCTGGGCCTCTGCTCCCACAGAGGCTGGATCTGGCCTGGGGCAGTTCAAACTCAGAATGCCCTCCCCTTGCGCACTAAATACACCCAGAAGGGCGATGACCAAGGAGGCAGGAAGAGCAGCGAGGGTTCCGCAGGGCGAAGAACAAAGAGGCTCGTGCAAAAGTGTCGACTCTATTTTCTTGCTGGGGGAGCTGCAGCTGCCCCGACAGAACCTCCAAGCGCTAGGGGAAGAGGTGGTGGTGCTGGAGGACCCTCGTGAGTCTAACCTGAGAGGCTGGAGCTAAAGGGAGCAGGGATCCTGGGCGCAGTCAGGAGCCCTTCCTGGCGGGCAGCAGCTACAGTGCTCAGAGCTCAGCTGGGGGATGCTGTCTGGAAATGGGAGGTCAGGTGCTGATTCCCAGCTCTGCCAGCACCCCCAGCAAACTGCTCTGTATGGGAGGTTCTGTACAGCTGGCTTTCGGGGCTTAGAGAAGGGCACCAGGGGTGCTTAAATAAACGGGCAGGGGTGAGGCAAGGGCAGAAAGCGACCGCCAGCCAGCAGTCCTGGTCTCCTGAGCCCACGTGGCCACGGCTTTGGTCTGGGAAACCCCTCTGGTGGGGTGGGGTGGGGTGGGAAGGAACGGTCTTGAGCCAAGGTCTCGGCCCCACGTCTCCCACTGGCTCCTCACTGGAGTGGGGGTCGGGGCAGGGCCCAGGAGCAGGGGCGGAGTCAGGTCCAGGCTGGGCGGGGCCTAACGCAGGTCCTCCTCATCGCCCTGGATGGTCTTCTTGATGCGCAGCAGCATGGTGGTGAGCCACTGGTCCAGCCGGGAGATGGCATCGTACTCCTTCACCTGGGGCACACCACGGGGACCAGACCGGGTTGGGGTATGTGGGGGAGGTGGGGGACACAGCCCTCCCACCCAGGCCCTGAAGCCCAGCTTCCCACTCAGTGAGTCCGCAAGAGCTCTGGTCTCTGGTCGGGAAAGGCCCTGATGCAGCCCAGCTGCCGGGCAGGGCGCCCCGGCGACGAGTCCTTGCAGGGAAGGAAGGCACTGCGGATTGCCCAGAAGTCCAGGTCCTTGTTTTAGAGACGGAACAGGCCTGAGGCGGTCAGACAGGCCTGTCCCGGGACCCACCGGAAGGGGGCTGGGAGAGAAGCCTTCTGCCTGCCCAGGATGGCCTACAGGCGCATCTCTGTCCTCTTTAAAGATGCCAACAGGCTCGCTCTGGGGTAGGAGAGGAGGCCAGACACGGAGCAGTTCCGGGATGTTCAGAGGGCAGAGGGCCTCTGGAACAGACAGGTGGGGATCTGACCCCAGTTCTGCCCCCAAACACGAGTCCCCTCATTGCCCTCAGCCTCAGTGTCACCATCGAGGACACGGGGAGGGCACATCCTTAGCTCTTGGGGCCACCGAAGAAAGGCCGTCATGGCCAAGGCCTGGGGGTGACCGGGGTGCCCCAAGCTGCACCCCAAGTGCTACCTGAGAGGGGGAGCCTGCCCAGTGACTGTCCCTGAAGGACCTGAGGCCCCTACACCCTCACCGCCTCGGTGTAGCTGTCCACGTTCTGTTCCTCATGGGCATCTAGCAGCTTCTGCAAAGAAAGGGGAGCAGATGGGGGTGAGGGCCGGCCTGGGTTGGGCCCAGCTCCCGCCTGTGGGTTAACACGCACTCTGGATGCCCACGTGGCAGGGAGGGAGGGAGGGAGCAGGCACCTGCTGCTGCTGGGTACTGCCAAAGCAGTCTGCGTGTGGCAGGCTTCCTGGCTGGGGTCTTGATTTGGGGGGTGGGGGTGGCACCAGGCCTTTATTCCACAGCACCCAGGGGAGGGGTGTCCAAACTGCCAATGTTTAGAAGTTAGGCGCTGGGGCGCAAACCCCAGGTGCCAGAGGGCGAGGAGGGCCAGGTGCCAGCGTGACCCGCTCACCTTCATCAGCTTGCACTCTCGGGACTCGGAGAAGGCAGGGAATAGCTCCTCGTACTTCTGGACGGCCAGCTGTGGGCGGGGGGAGGTGACAAAGGACACATGCTGCCAGAGCTTCCAGCTGGGCAGCC